GTCTTTGTGATGTGAAACTTTAAAATGTATATACACAAAATGACAGGAAAATCTTGTGTTTATAAATATTTCCTATTCTTATATGTTAGCAGCTGCCTTATTCTATTCTAGATTCACCTTTATTATTGAGTTCAACTTTAAATGTTTGTTCTAAAACTTCTCCCACCTTACAGAAAAAGCACTGTACTACAGGCTGTGCCATAACAACAGACATTTTATTTGTGATCGAATTAGGATCCGGGTTTTAGGATTTGAAAGACAAACACATTAATCCCTTGAAAGATTCAGTCTCTGTCAATTCTAATCAGGTAAAGGCATTGGTCATTTTGTTTCAAAGCAGTTGGAGAGATTCTTTAATTCAGGGAGCTGGCCTTTTTATTTCAAGCTTATTTCATCTTTCGGGTAATAATGTACTTGTTGCATGTGAAGTACTGTAGAATTTAATACACCCGTATGTCCCCATAAGTTATCACAGTTGTCTGTAATTTGCAGAAATCGTTTGTGGTCATCAGCACCAGCTAGTAAGTAGGACACAAAATTATGCCATTTTTCCTAAAGTGGGATGGGGGGTGGGAAGGAGGAGGGTGTTGGAGTAGTTTGGGAGGCTTGTCACTTAAGCAGATGATGTAGAGAGTGAATTTATCTTGGTTTGAAAGAGAGCATCTGAAAAGAAGTTTGGAACAAGAGTCTGCATGTAGCTGCATTTTCTGTGTAGAAGAGGGACAAGCCGGCTTGCATGGTAAACTGAAATGAAATTGGTTTTGTAATACCTTCTGTGCAACAAGAATGGTGCATGGAGCTGATTTAAAACTGAACAAGTTACTTTGCATTATCAAGGTCAGATCTTGTAATGAACAAGTTTCTAAATCTATCAAATTCTGGGATGAATACTAGCATGTTTTCTGATGCCACAGTACGAGTAAAAAATAATCATATACAGAATCTCCTAAATGCCCTTAAAATAAATTCAAGTTGTTCTTATTTAGCATAGCAGTAATTAGGATAGACTTTTTGACTATTGATATGCTTCTGTTTTGGCCAGGATATAATTCAGAGCTGAATTGCTTACTGTATTCCCTCTTGTGATTTAGGCCCAGAGGGCAACTGAGCATCACCCAGCCATTCACTCACTCCTTCCCCCATCAGAGATGAGAAGGAGAATATGACCATTTAAGGACAGGGAGGAGTAGCCCACCCATCACAGGCAAAAGACAGACTGGTTAGGGGAAGAAAAGGAAAACATCACTTTAATTCAAACGCTAGCAAAGACAACACTTAATAGACAAGGTGGGACTGGGAGAAGCACCACCATATCCAAAACCATCTACCCCCACCCTTCCCTTCTCCCTGGGCTCAGCTCTGCTCCCCATCTCCCCACCTCCTCCCCCAGTGGCACAGGGGGCAGGGGATGGGGGTTACAGCCAGCTCGCTGCTCCTTCCTTCTCGGGAGGTGGGGGGAATGCTGCACATCCCTCCCCTGCTCCATGGGGCTCCCCTCTCACTGCAGACAGTCCTCCATGAACCTTTTCCACAGTGAGTCCACCCCACGGGATGCAGCCATTCCCACGCTGATCTGGCCAGGGTCACCCCTACGTGTTGCAGTCCTCCCGGTGCCGAACCACAGCAGCGGGGGCTGCCTCTCCCCTCAGAGTCCCGGCCTACTTTAAACTCAGACACCTGTCCCGGAGTGGCTTTCTCCTCAGGCTTCAGGTCGGCCTCTACATCTCACCACAGGATACAGGGGTGTCTGCTTCGGCGCACCTCCCCCACATCTTCCTCCTGCCTCCCACTGACCTGGGTGTTCCCACAGGTGTCCTTCTCCCAACTCCTCCTCACAAGCCCCAGCCCCGTCTCAGGTTCCCCTTCTTAAATACATTCCCACCAAGGCGCAGCCACCGTTGCCATTTGGCTCGGCCCTGGCCAGAGATGGGTCTGACTTGGAGCTGGGGGAGCCTCGAGAAGCTTCTCACAGGGGCCACAGCTGTAGCCCACTCCCTTACTACCAAAAAACTGCACCACAGAAACCCAACACACCTCTCATACAGGCATTTTGTGTTCAAAGTGTAATTAATTGTCCTAGGAGAGGTCACGCCCCTAAAATCAATCAGATAAATTAATTCCCTGGGCAGTATGTTATGTGGTCTGTATCAGTAAGCTACGCTTTTCTTGCAAATACTTTAAGACTTGTCTCTGAGATGTGGTGACACACTGTTGAAAAACCCTGTGCAAAGGGAAAGTAACAAGCTGAAACCATGATACAGGTATGGAAGTGTAATGGCAGCTGCCCAGGTGCTCTTATGTTGTTGTCAGAGTTAATGAAATAGATCTCTTGGTTTTCTCCAGTTAAGTTCTTCAATTCATAGTATTTGCGGAAAGTAGGTGAAAGAATTGTTTACAGTGCTGTTGAAGCATGAGGCAAAGCCCACTTGCAGCTGGGCTTTCATAAAAGTTGTCCCTTTATTTTTCCTTTCACCCACTAGTGAATCCTCATTCTTCTGTCTAGAAATCTTTGTCTCTTGCCACCAAATCTGGAATAGGTCATGGTTTCCTGTTTTCAACAGTGGGTGGTAACATTCAGCTCCTGGATAAAATTCAAATCATCTTCTTTTTTCATGATTTTCATATTGTTAGTTTAGCGTTTGGGATTATGCTGGGTTAGAAAATAGAAGACACATTCTCTAGTTTGTCCTTGCATCTTTATATTGCTTAGTGCAAGAAGGCTGGGAAAGCAAACAGGTCTCTTGTCTCACCTGCTCTTAACTCTTTGCACACCACAGTGTCTGAAGTGAGATGCTGATTTGATTAAAGCATGTCACACATTAGCTATCCCCATAGCTATCTCTTAATTAAGAAGTGACACCTTTCTCTTTGCTTGAAGGAGATGAGTATTTGGCCATTACTTCGTATAAAGTGGATGATGAGGTTCTCCATTTCTTTTGTCTTTTAAATGGTATTATCTTTTATTTTAAAATTCAAATTGGTAGCACAATTGCTAAAGGCAAACAGGAACTAAAGTGTAAGGGAGATAGCAGTGTAATAATTGCAATGCAGCAGAATGATTTCAGCTTCAATAGGTAGTGTTCTACAAAGTCTGGAAAATGGGGCTGTTCCTTTACATCCCAAGACACTTTACGGTACTATAAAGCAATCATTCTCATGTTTTACGGAGTGCATTATATTGTAATAGAAGTGTCTGTTCCAGGGACTTGCTGAAAAGTTAGAGGTAACTAACTGTCTTCTCTCACTTTCTTCAGTTCTGTTTCACTGCCTGTGTTTCTACAGCCAATCTATCTGAATTTTTTGCTGCTGCTCCCTGTACTCCTTGCTCTGCCTTGCCCTTGGCTTCTGGCAGTGGCTCCAGTCACAAGGCTGACTCCTGTAATTCTGGAAGCATCAGCCTTGCTGGAGGTTTCTGTGCATGAGGATGACTTCTTTTCCTGGTGTTCAGCCATAATGGAAGCTGCTAGGCTGGTTTCTCTTTCTTTTTTTCCACTTCTTTTTAGGCCTCCTAGTGTCTTCCTTGCAATGTGCAGATCAAATATTTTTAAATCAACTGGAAGCAAGAAGAGTTAGTGCCGTGCACATTGGTTTTTTGTAGATCACAGTGTGTTTTTCATTAGAAATAGAGGGTCTCGTGAAATCTGCTCCTAAAATAAGGTTCTAATTTATGATCTTAAGGGCAGCCAAAGAAACAAGAGAAAAGTAGAGGAGGAGTAATAGCAGTGCTGTTCTGTACTTTCTTCCTTGCATCTGAGTTTGTCATTTGGTAGATTAAGAAGGGTTTTCTAATGTACCTGTTAGTATGTCTGGGATCTGGAATTAAATTATGGTATAGGTTTTTTTCACTGTCTCTGGGCTACCATGAAGAAAAACAGTTCTCCAAAAGAATCTTGTCCTCTAGGTAAGGCTGGGAAACTGCATTGCTATTTGTGAGTTTGCTTACAAATGACTGAAGGCAGGTGTTTTAGTCTCCTGAACTTCCCATGGAGCCCTGTGGTGTGATTTCCATATGAACTCGAAATGGCCTGAGCATCTGGAAAATAATCCAGTTAGTATCATAGAGCTGTGCAGTATCTGAAGTATTATTGATAGTTATGGAATAGTTACCTTTTATCTCTTGCTATAACTAGAGATTTACCTTGGGGGGGGGGGGGGGGGCGGGGAGGGTTGGGAAAGGAAATACTGAGTAAGGAGGTGTCACTATAGTCTCTCCCTTCCTCTGTAGCAGAGCCATCTTCTAATCCTGGATGTCACTGGTTCATCAGGCTAAGAGTGCTTTTTTGATACAGATCCAGAATTTTAATATAGCATTTTCTGGGCCCTAGGATATGTGTAACTCTGGATCCCATGGGTGACTGAAGGAAACTGTAAATAAAACCTTTGTCTCCAATATAGCAGCACAGATTAACTAGAACCATCTCTTTGAACTCTTTTATTTAGTTGTTTTCCAGTAGCGTTGTTAGTATTCTGTCTGAAACATGAGACTGACCTACATCAAATAGCAAAGGTACTTGGTTAGCATCATACAACCTGTATAAAATTAATAGGAGGCTTCCTAGTGCCTAATTTTTAACTAATAAAAGCTATTAATTTTGTCAGTATTTTGCCAAATTCGTGTATCTTTCATTTGCAGTGGTGTTGAATATTTGGTTACGTTGCTGCTGCAGTCACTATTCATCATAAGCAAAATTGGTTTTTGGGGGATTAATGGGTTGGATTTGGGCTCATGTGATTGTTTGCTTTATTTTTTTGGATTGTAGAACTGGACAATAGAGCTTGTATGACATAATGAATGTCTGTGAGGTAATGTGATAGAGAGGGTTTTTTAAAAGCTATTTTTTTTTAACCTTCCTGGAAAGAACGAGTGTATTGTGTTTCTACTATCTGATGCAGCTATTCCAGGAGAGAATAACACTTAACAAATGTAATGTTTAAAATGATGATGAAACATATATTGTTCAGACCTTGTTGACTCCTTCTGTTTGCTTCACCCCTCCCAGACAAACGTGTTGATGATTGGCCCTTGATGCAGTCTCCATTTCCAACATTGACTATAAGCACTATTTATCTCCTCACTGTCTGGCTGGGTCCCAAATGGATGAAGACAAGAGAGCCCTTCCAGTTACGTTTCCTGTTGGTTGTTTACAACTTCGGAATGGTTCTACTCAACTTCTTCATTTTCAAAGAGGTGTGTATGCCCTCTCGCAGGAGGGAATTCCTATTTAAGTTTGAGGGTGTCTACAGATTGCAAAATGAAAATAATGTTACATATGCATGATGTCTATTGAGGGTGAAAGTTTTGCTTGCTTTTAAAGCTGAATTTGCCTTTGATATAAGTATTTTTGTAGCTAAGTACATTCTGTTTGAGAAAAAAATGCACAAAATGAGTATATAGAGAGAATTTGTGTACTAGCTATTCCAAGTTCTTCTTATATTTATGTCAGTCAATCTGTCCAGTATTTACACTAAAATCCATAGAGATTTAACACTTGTAACTGACTTTTTTTTTCTTTTTAATAATCCTAAAGGGTGTCAGAAGGTATTTGTTAGAAATTGAGGTGTTTGGTGCTTTCCATGTATTTATCATCTTTAGAAATTCAGATGTCCATTGTCTGTAGTGAGGAAAAGTATCTAGTCTGTAAATTATCTTTTAGAATAAAAATTAAGTGAACTGTATCTTCAAATAAAAATAAAAGGATTTAGTCTTCTAATATTTGGTTTGCAATGTTCTGAATGTGTTGATTTAAAAAAAAAAAAATCAGTGTTGCTTCATTCCTCCTTTGTTAGTTTTTTTGTACAGAGGAAATTACAAGTAACAATGCAGTGGATCAGCTCTTTAGCAGTATCTAAGTGGGATTACTTAACAGTTTGCCAATCATTATTCAAGGATAGCTGTCCAGAATATAGCTGATGTTAAGGAGTAGTTTATGCTGCTGTGACTTTGCTCATGTGGGTTAAGAGTCTTCCTCCTGGATGACTTTGAATCATAAATTTGCAAAACCTGTTTCCAGAAATAAGCGAATGAACAGAGCAGTTAAAAGTACAGCATTGCAGAATTCTTTTTCTGGCTGTCTGTTCTGTACTTTTGCCAGGAAAGCATGGCATATCTGATGATGATCCGCATATTGACCCTTCCCCAGAGCTTCCATAGTAAAATCACTAACTGATTTCAGCCTTTTTTTGAGACATGGTAAAATTTTAGCCATCACACCTTAGTTGTCATTTTGTCTAAATTGCTTCCTTGCACTATTCAACTAAGTAATAAAATACTACATGTACAACAGAATTTAATGCTGACACCCAAGGATAGTTGTAGGAATGGATGAAATCCAATCATCTTGGCAGGTTAAAACTGAAACTCCACTGAAATGAATTCTGCAGTGGTTTTGCCACGTCTGCCTTTTTCACTTATTCTTATAAATTGGTTTGTTTTATCCATAAGATGAATTATACCAGATTTGTGGTCAATTAATTTTCAAGCCTATGTTGCTTATAACACGTGTTTGTGTGGCTTTTCCAAATCACTGAATTAACATAAAAATGGATGGGACTACAAATACACATTTGCTGCTGATAGATTAAAAACTTATAAATTTAGACACAGGCAGAGGTTCTAGTTTCCGGCTATTTCAAATGGGAGGTTGTTATTCAATGGATGTTAAGGCTATGGATACAACATTTACAGAAAGTGTCTTTTCTTGATCTTAGAGAATGACAGGAAGAAGGTGCTCAAGTTTCAATTGTTCCTTTTAACCAGCCAACTTCTGCTTCAGTCTACATGAGGTTTACAATACCAGTGTGCCACTCTTGTAATTCACATCAGTGAAATGTAATTGTTACGAGTAAAATGATACACAGTTTGTGTTTTGTGAATGACTAAAATTTTCAGGTATTGCTGAGAACAGAATTTGAATGTGAATTACCTTTAACTATTCATCCTGATGGCAAACTGTATTGTTCATCTGTGATAATTTACATTAAAATTATAAGTCCATGAAACACTGATAGGTTGTCCAGTCCAAGACTGACATATGTTGGACCCAAATTCAGATTCAAATTAAGAGCAAATTTTGCCTAGGACATGCAGAAGTCCCAGATGCATAGCCCCTATTTTGCCACAGAATCTTGTATTTCTTTTTCTACTTTGTTGCAGTCTGATTAAGTCGATTTACAGCCTTTTGCCAAGTGAACCTTGGTCAAATTACCCAGTAGGTCGCAGTAGAGGTTGGTTAGTTTCTGTAACAGCACAGACTAAACTGTTCCTTGCTCTTCTCTGATATGATCAGATGTGCTCATGCCTCTGTGGGACCACACTGGAGAGTAGTGATGTTACAGCAGATTGTAAATGGACTCAAATAATGCAGAAGTAGTTCGGTTTCTTTCTTAGGGTCATTTTTGTGTACAGTTCTTTCATTTCCCTCCTTTAGCAGACATGTGCAGCAAGTAAGTCTAGAGTTTTGTGAGGTTTTGTATGTTGGTTTTATCTGGATAACACTCGTCTCTGCATCTGTCTGCACTCCTAGTGCTGTGTGCAAGATGAGATACCGAGTTAAACACAAGTTCAGTCTAAATAAGATGGAAGTCAGGTTAGTGGTAAGAACAGTCAGTGCCTTACCCATGTTTATTTTGGAGATCTTTTTGTATCACCCTTCTTTACTTTTACAGCTCATAGTTTACAGGTTATGTCTGCTCCACTGCTGTCTTCTTTTTGATCCTTGACAGGGTGGGATTAACTGGCTTTAAATAATCTTGGATCATAAAATTTATGAATGTCAAGATTAGAAGTATTACTTGAACCTTGTACAGCTCTAGGCAAGTGTTCTTCTTTCCAATGGGAACTTGCTCCAATGTCAAGTTTATCTTCTCCTGTCCAGGTTATTGAAATGTGCTTTATTTGGAGTGGCCCTACAGGACCACTTCATGTGCTTTAGGCCATTTCTGTTGGCACAAAATGGGGAAATTTTCTTCATTCAGTTTCTCTCAATATGTTTTATGGGTGCTCAGCATTGGCTGTTTCAGGGTGTGTTTTCTGGATTTTGATTGGTACACTGTTTTAAGAATAGTAAACCCAAATTACCTAATCCCTGTCTCTTGGAGAGAGTTCTCTCACATCCATCATGGGAATAGCATTTCTGTCATTCATAGTGAAAGTTATTAGTTATTTTCTGTCTCTGAAGCTGGAGGTGTCAGTGGGAATACTCATGTTTGAATAGTTTATGATTGTACTGGAATTCTTACTAATGTGTACAGGGCTCTAATTATCTGGGAAGAAACAGGCAGGGAAAAATGAGTACTTTCTTTTTAATTTACAAGAAAAAAATAGGTACTGTGTAACAATGGGTTGTTAGAACTAAACATTGGCTTTCTTCAATAGTATTCTCAGGACTCATAAGGATATTTTAAATATCTCTGTTCAGGTAAGTTTGATTTAGCAAGAAATTTGATGATAGTTGTTATGAACATGCTTTATGTAGCGTCTTTCTCCTCATATTTCTCCTTTAATATTTTCAGCTGTTTTTGTCATCAAGAGCTCGAGGGTACAGCTATGTCTGCCAGACTGTGGATTATTCAGATAATGTTTATGAAGTTAGGGTGAGTACTTATTTTTTGTATCTGTATATGAATGTGTGTAACATATAGCTCTGCATGATGGTTTAAGTCTTGTCTGACAATAGTGTTTTCAAAGTTCTGCTGTCAGCCATGTCTGTATCCGTTATATCCTCACAGCCTACTTCAGGTTTGACTACATTGCACATAGCAGGTTTAATCAAAGTGCATCACTGTATTTGCACTAACTTTCATCTGACTGCTAGAAGGGTAGTCTTAAAGATACCATCCTTGGCTTCATTTGCGGTTGTACAATCCATGATAAACTTTGTATACATGCTTTGGTTCCTAGACCTTGCCGAAGTTTATGATACCAGGGTAACCACAGTAAAGGTGTAGTGTTCTAGCCATATCAAAACAAGTAAAATTTGTCAGCATATACTGTGATTGCACTTCACTCATACTGGTGAGGCAGCTTTTGTCTCCTTTACCCATGTTTGGCTTCCTGAGGTCTTGCTGGCTTCTGGCAAACGTATATTATCAGTGCATTTCATTGTAGTAGATTAGATTTCAAATATGTGTTTTTTGGAAAGCATTCAAATTAAAATCAAAGTGCAGTTGGTTGTTAATTTCCATAACACTGTTGATTAGCTCATGTACTAGATCTTACCTTCTGGCAGAGCTGACACTTGAGAATCTCTCAGCTGTTCTTGCAAGTTTCACCTGCAGATTAGAACATGTTCCTGAAAATGTAATGAAAGTGTGTTATAGTCTAAATACATCTAGTATTTATAACACATTTCAAAAAATGTCCGTCTTCAAGATGACTGTTTGTGGGTAGTAATACTCAAAAGCTTGTGCACATAGCAGGGGTGGTAGTGAGAAGGATAAGTTTGAATCTTATACTTTATGTAAAATGGCTGATATTGCAGAACAACTCTATGTAGATTTTTATTGGCTTTATAGCAGTCAGATATCATTTGCCTTTGCCAATACTATGCACTCGCTATTTTGGTTACTGAAATACTTCTGTTTAAAAATTTGTTTACAAAAAAATCTAGCCAAGTATAACAAATGATTGTCAGAGTTTTTTCAATAGATAAGCAAAATAGAATGCCCTCGTACTCAGCTGGAAGACACTGAGAACTGGCCTGGCATATATTGAAGGAATTTTTATATTAGCTAAGTACAAGAGGTAATGACTTTTAGTATGTAGAAATTCGGGTTTGTAGCCTCACTTTTAGATGCACTTGTTGTGGGAGACTGTGGAAAGGTTAAACCTGCTCAAAAATAATATCTCATGTTTTGTTCATAATGCCAAAGTATTATTATACAACGAAATAAAGGCAAAATGGCCCGCACAATGTATTCATTACATATGGTATGTCCAGCAAAGAAAGGTTGCTCTAGCAACATCTATTCTTTGGTTTTCCTGACTTTCTGAGTTTTTTGCAAATTTGTGGATTTGCATAAACTTTATTTTTGAAGTTTGAAGTTGTAACATGTTTGGTTTGCAACTGAGGGAGTTGAAGAAGCAGGGAAAATTGAAAAACTTCACTGAAGTTGTTGCAGCAACCCTGTAGTATGTTGCCATTCACGACCTTTATCTTGATCATTATCTGGTAGTTCTTCTGAATGAATTCTCAATTTAGGTAAATAAGTTGCAGGTAGAAAACTACATTTTCCACAAATGTACCTTGTCAAAGTAAAGAGTCTGGGATACGTTTCTGACCAGCTTTACAGTGGATCATGCTCTGCATTTAGAAGCTATGTTTTTGGGTTTTGATGCTGTAAGACAAAAAAACCCCACACAAACCTCCTCAAGATTCGTTTCACCATCATTTTTTATAACATAAACCTGCAAAAGCAATTCTAAAATGTAAGTAAATGTGGCCTTCTTGCAGTTTTGAGTTTACAATTGATAAACCTTGTAGCACGTCTCCCACACTCTTTTAATAGATCTAGATACTAAACGTCTAGTATCCATTGGCACTGGGTTTTGTCTAACAAGAAATGCTGCACTGCAGTAGTAGAATTAATTGCAAATGCAATAACTTTATTTGTAAGAGAATGAGCAAAGAAGTCCTGTATTGATCAGATAAAGGAGACTGGGACTAACTCAAATGCAAGCAGCACTGGGCTCAGAACGTATTATGGAACGTGCTCTGGAGCACAACAGTTCATATATGACTTGTGGAGCTTAGGAAGCTGGAACAAAGTAATGAGAAATGTGACACTAATTGCATATGATGGTCCACATGGCAACACAGGAGCCCTGGTATGACCTCTGTTTCTGTCTTTTTGGGAATGTGCCACTATGATGTTGCCATGTATGTTGCTATGTAGTGCCCCGTTTTGACCAAAACTTTTGTTCAAAATGAGGTGTCAAGAAACCACCCTTTCTTCCTCAAGGGAGTACAGAGAGCTGTTAAACAGTTCCAAACAAAAAGGTTTGGCTATCCTGGGTACCAGAGAAGGTCTTTCATCTCCTCTCCTCTCCAGCCCACATTGTATGTCAAGACAGTAAGGCAAGGATGATTTCAAGGGAACAGGGTAGGGGCATATGGTGACACTGCCCCCATATAGTGTAGGAACATCAGTGATTTGTAGCTCACAGACCTCTTAAGCCAGACCTAGCCTTTTTGTTTTGCCAGCTTTTAAGGGAATATTCTTCCATGAATTGTTACATTTTCTTCAACTTTATCAAGCTTTTGGCTTTCACTAACAATTAATTCTGTGAGTAGTATGAAGAAGTTGGTCCTCTGATTTACTGTTTTGAACCTACCCTTATTAATCTCTTCCAATCTCCCCTGGTAGTTATTCTGCAAGAGGCAATGGATTACTAGAACAAGCAGGGATGGAAATTAGATTCCATGGTTGCAGAAATAAACTCCTTTCTGAAGGACTTCTGGATGTAGTAAGTAGACACCTTACTGACTGCTGGCAGGAAGTTGAGGAGTGTGTTTTATAATTGGTTGTATAAAAAAATTAAAATCTTCATAGCAGACAAGAAAGAAAAGGGAAAAGAAATCCTCAAGAAGGGATTTTGAAGGAGCTCCAGCTGCATCTTGAAAGAGCTTTTTTTGGTTATAGCTTAGGAGTCAAAATAATAAATGCAAAGGGCTGAAGTGTTAAATCCATGCTTTGTAGTAATTCTTTGGAACTTCCAGTATTTGAAGTGAACAATTTCCTAACACTGGCTAACTTATGACATGTTAGTGTCTGTGAGCAGTCACTTCCCCCTCTGCTTACACTTGTGCATCCTTATTTCCCAGGTCAAGATTCATCTATTTTGTTAACATTTCTGAAGATCTGAGAATTCAGAATCGGGCTGTATGAATTAGTTAGTAACTGTGCTGGTTGTAATCATAAAGCTGAGCTGTGGCTGTCTTCCGTATTGCAGTTGTAATCTGCATTTGTTTGCATTTATGTGTAGAGCTTGAGTGGTTTCCTCTTATGAAATAAATATAATAATAATTTACTTTAAACTTTTGTGAAAATGGAACTTGACTTAACAAAATAGATTTCACGGTCCTGTAAACAAAATTCTGTAACTGAAGCTGGGAAAAGAGCTCTCTTTAAAAAACACTTTCATTTTTCATTATACTGTTAACTTCTAAGAAGTACCTGTCCTTTCAAACCCGTTAATGGATAACTGTCCCCAGCCTGAAATGAGAAAAGGGAGTGCAGGAGCAGAGTCCCGGGTTAAAACAGGCCTCTGTTCAGAAACTGTGCAGCAGGCAGAGGTCATGGGATTGGACCTCTTGTTGACCCCCTTAATCCTTGGCTGTAATGTAATCTTTCTGTGTCATCTGATGTTTTAACAGACTTAAATTGGCACATATGAAAATTGCCAAAATAGGTATGTTTGTGACTAGTATATTAATTTCAGGAATGTGCCCTTTTAATGCCTTTTTTTTTTCTTTTTTTTAAAGTTCAATCTTTCTTTCATGCTGTGTCCAAAGAAAGGCTACAGGTTAGGTCCTAACTTCTGATGCTTTGCAGAAGTTTAATGGTAGCCATCTGCTCCCAACATATCTTACATATCAGTGTATTATTCTACTTTTTTTCTGCACCTATAAGCTGATGATCAAAATGTCTGCGTAAGTCATAGGGAGCACTGAAATATATCATCAGTACATGAAACCTATCAGGTTTGAGAATAAATGGTAGTAAAATCTGATGATAGGAAGAGAGCAAAAGAGCTGTCAGGCAAAAAAATCTATAGGAACACACAAACCAGCATGTGTAATCCTGCAAAGAAATGGAGGCTGTTATTGTTCTTAAGTGATGGGAAGCATTTTGATTGAAAGTTCAGCTAATTTTGATCCATGGGCTGTAATTGTTTTCTATGCAAGGCAGGTGGAATTCAAAAGAAGAGAAATGAGATATGTTAAGTGGTTTGTCCAAGAGCATACAGTGAATTTGTAGCATTTTGGGCATAAACCATAAGAATTTTTGTTGGATTTTTCTCCACTTAAATTTTGTTATGTGTCATACAGTAAATTGGCTATTTGCTTGTTGGCTGTTTGGCTTATTGTTTCACTGTTTCTTTAACAAAATGCATATTGGCTTTGTAAGAGATTTTATGGCAGTTTGCTTGAAACTGAACTGATCTACTGGTTCTTTAAAGGTTTCTCGGAAGGAAGGACCTCCAAAGAGTTTAAGTATTGTGCTGGCTTGTTGTTTTATGGATATAGTCCAAAGTGTTTGTTGTAACTCATGAGATTAAAAGATGCTTATCTTAATTTATTTAAGAGATGCAGCTTTAGCAAAGATCTGTAAAAGATGCTGGACTGTTATGCTAATCCATGGCTGTGAGACAAAGCCTTGATGTGGGTGTTATTAAACACCTGACTACCTGTCTCAGAAGCAGAACTGTACTGGATATTGAGCAATATATATATATATACATAAAAATATATATATGTATATATATATATGGTTCTTGCCGCTTGCCTGTGTGTCTAGGAACTCCAAGATCTGTGGGACTCACTTTTTTCTCATTAAACCTCTCTCCAACTTTGACAGATATTAGTATTTTTTTATATAAAATTGACAAAAGCCTGCCTCCTTTTCCTGAGACCTGAATGGGCTAAACCACACTCAGAGTGAGAGGGTATTCATTAATGGATACATAGAAGCCTGCAGTTTGGCAACAGTAAGTTGTGCAGTCCCTTTGGGAAACTGCAGAGTCTGCAATGCAGATCTGCGGCACTCCTCTGCTCCTGTGCTGCTTTTTTACTTCTGCTGTAATTTCTCCTGAAATGGTCACCGGTCCAATTATGGCTGTGAGAAACTTACTCTGAGCAGAGATGCATTCCTTTCCTGCTAGTTTGAGGAAGTAGAGGAAAACACGATGCAGAGCTGTAGCATTGCTCTGTACTGCACGTTCTCCTGATTCCCCTTTCTCTCGCTTGCCTAACAGTATGTGTGTATTTTAGAAGGGAAGCTATTGCTGTCTGAACTTTTTCTCTTCTGTCTCCCCTTGGGATCTGAAGGGGTGGTGGGGTTATTTCACACCACGTCAAGGTAAGAAAGTCTAATTTGCCATCAGATGAGTCCTGAAAGATCAGGTGAACTTCTTACAAATAGGTGTGTTGTGACATTGTCTGTTTTCCTTGCTGATGGTGTCATTTCTAACTCTCTTCTTTTTTTTCTTTTTTTTTTTTTTTTTTTTTTTATTTTCATTCTCTACGTGAGTCACCATCTGGGATATGTTCTGGTCCCACCCTTGCATAACAAGCTAGATGACTTACAATGCCAGCAACTAGACTTGTTGCTGTGCTTTGGGATCAGGAAGGGAGTCCCCACCACCACTATACCCCCATATCATAGTATTAGCAAATTGCTACACAGAGCTGCTGGGCTTTATCTGGTACAACAATATCCCGATTTCAGCAGGAAGCCATGTTTATGTTGAATCTTGGGCAAGATTCACTGTGATGGGTGGATTAGAAAAAGAGTTTTGGGTGTGTAGCATTGCCCTGTTGGGTAGATGGGTTGTATCTCTGCAGCTTGTGTGTCTCTCGTGATCTCATTTCTTCTATTCCCTGAATGGCACAGAGCCACCTGGGGAATGCTGTTTTCCAGAGGGGGTTACGGAGCAGACCAGAAGAAGCTGAGGAGAATATTGCTCTAAGGGATTTGAAATCTGTATCTCACCTAGCTTGTAAGAGTGATTTGGTATTTTCCCACCCATATACCTGTGGTACTGAAAGAATTTTATATAAGGTTTCAACCTTTGCAGTTTCATTTTATCATCATGTTTTGGCCTTGCTGTTCTGACCACATCAAAGTGTTGCCTCATTAGTATGGGAAGCCCTGTGGTAGTCTTCTCCTGCAAAGCTTAGGATAAAGAATGAGGACACAAACTCCTTACATCTAACTGGTAAAAGAGAAGGCAAAGCTTTTAATTATGTTAGCTCTTTTTTGTGGCTGTGATTTGTGCACAGTAGACTCAGAATAGTACTTCCATGTCCAGAATAAATAAATGGAGTTGTTGTTCTCATACCATCAGATGTTTGATGACTCCACCTCAGCATTTACCAGAATTTGGGGAAGGAAGGGGTATCCTTCTCTTGCAACAGCTAGGTGGAGAGAACTTGATTCCATTCAGCCTGGAATCACTAAAACTTCTTTGTTGTCTTTTTTTTCATTGCAGATAGCTGCTGCTTTATGGTGGTATTATGTTTCTAAAGGAATTGAGTATTTGGATACAGTATTCTTCATCCTGAGGAAGAAATTTAACCAAATTAGCTTTCTTCATGTCTATCACCATTTCACCATGTTCACCTTGTGGTGGATTGGTATTAAGTGGGTTGCAGGTGGACAAGGTGAGTTCCCTTCCTCCAATACCCTTTTGACTGGACACAATGGAGAATTATTATTGTTTGGGAGCAATGGAAAAAAAATTTCATAAACTTAACATTATAATATACAAGAGTGTTTAAATTGCACTGAAGCAGCACAACAGCTTTAATGCGTACAGTCTTCCTCTGTGGGAAAGATGGGGGAGGAAAAGATAACAGGGCAGTAATCTAATGAATTGCAAAACTTTTTTCTTTTCTTTTTTTTTTTTTTTTCTTCATGGGCTTCAATTACAAGCCTGAAGTTCTGTCTTCAAAATTATCTGTATTCTGTATGAAATAAAAAGATGAACGTATCTTGCCTAACTTTAATTTTTGCAGATACAGAGAGCTGCAAAATCTAATTACGGGCCACAATCTGTGTGCAAATGTAATGAAGTTAATGGAGATGTTATTTTGGCATTGTATCTGAGTTTGGGGTTTGCTTTCTTTTTTATAAAGCACATATAAAATTCTGAAACCTTCCCTTGAAGGTGAGCCAATAAATTTGTCAATTAACTTTTAAAACCTATTTGTAATGACACAAGTCTATAGTTCACTATCAGCCTCTTTTTTTTTTTTTTTTTTTTCCTTGCTTCCTTGCTAAAGCCCCCATCAAAGAATTTTATTCCATTGTACTTGCCACATCCTCCCTTGCCGGCATTGTATCCTTGTTTCTGTTGTTTTGCCATGTCTCTCTCAAATTATCAGCTCTACAGAGCTAAGGGCTTAGGGAAAATACCCTGTTTTGTTTGTAATGTGCTTTGTAGGCTTAAGACACTGAGAATAACATATAGTAAACAGCATACCTAACTAATATTTTGGGGTTTTTTGTCAAACCACACTAATACTTAATGCATGGGGGGTTTATGCTTTCATTTACTATGGATATCTTGTACTGAGTAGTTAATTATATTCAAAAGAAGAAATATTTAAAATGAGTATCTGTGTCTATCCTTGAATTTCTCCCAAGTAATATTCAGGATGCAGGTACTCAAGCAGACATTTCACGATCTTTATTGGCTACTGCACCCATAAAATAAGTTTATTGGAGACTGGATGCTTACTTGCTGTCTTACCTAGAAATTCCCTGGATATCTGAAAATGCCCTCTCCCCTATTTCCTTTTCAGACTTTTCATGCTTAATACCAGCAGTTTTCAATACAACAGTTGCAACTATTTTCAAATTTATTTCAAGTTTTGGTGTTCTTGCAGTGCCACTTAGTTTCTAGCCCCTACAAAAGGAGAAGCAACAGTTGCTCTTCTGCATTTATGTAGCACTACTGCATAACTGTAGCTACATCTATGTTCTTCTGTTTTCTGGTTGGTAGCACATTGCTTACATAGACAGATCTATTACAAACTAGACCCTATTATAACTAACTGGGTTTCGACCACGTGGGCATTTGAGCTGTTTGATGTCAGCAGTTACTGTCTGTATTGCCCTAACCTTATACATTAGAGCCCTTTTGAGCCTCTCTGGCCATGTAAGAATACCTTAACAAGGTATAATTTGTTTCTGTTAAATGGCTGCTAATCTTGATAGAATGAAGAGATCTTAGTGCAAATGCAAGCTGTTGTCTTTGTTTCCAGCATGGATCATTCTGGATCAAGTTTTACTCTACATTTATATATTTAAGAATGCTGGATATTATAAGTCATGAATAAGGAAACTAAAGATGAGCAATTTAGACAAACTCACTTGGCAGTGCCCTTAGATGCCTTGTAGCCACAAGTGAAGTTTTGCTTTGTATGATTGTTTTGGCCTATTTAATCAGACTTCCACATGAGTTTCTTGACTTGCTGAGAAATGGACCTTGTGCATTTAAATATAGTTGAAAAGACTTAAGTTCAGAACCTGATACTTTATACTTTGCATTGTGAAATACAGCTTTTAATAGTCGTTTAGCAAAAAAATTGCAGTTATACTACAATAACTAATGTGGAATCCATGTGATTTATGTCTGTTCAACAAAAATCTTATGAAAAACTTTTGCATAAGTAGTTCCATGAAAGATGTTACGTACTACTTGTGTGAACAGCTATTTGTGTCAGCACATGTTGGCGGTCAGGTCTATACTATACTATTGAATATTTCAGAGATGGAATCCGGGCACGTCTTGTGCTTTATAATTTTTACTATTACATGAATAATACTAAAAAATACCTCTTTTTTTTTTTTTTTTTTTTTTTTTTTTTTTCAAAATTATATGGCAATCTTCCCTTTTGTTTCTGAACAGCTTTTTTTGGAGCTCAGATGAATGCATTTATTCATGTCATTATGTACATGTATTACGGATTAGCTGCCTGTGGCCCTAAATTTCAGAAATACCTGTGGTGGAAACGATACTTGACCATATTGCAATTGGTAAGTAAAATTTCTCCCTTTACGTCAGAAGGTGTTGCCTCTGATTGGATTTGCATTTGCAGAGTTTTGGAACAGACGCTGCTCCTTCCAAAAGTTCTTAGCTGCCTGATACTCACAGCTCAAGTTAAAATACTTCCTGGAGATGGAAGTATTTATTTAATTTCTCAGAAAACACGCAGCACAGATAAGAGTTGTGTGAGTAAAGTCTCGTCCTACTTTACTGGTTGTTTGGTTGCAACTGAATTTCAAAAACCTGTTCAAAAGGTAGAAAAAAATCCAGATCCCTTAATGTCTTCTCATTTCCCTATTTCTGAAGACTGGTGCTAGGCACTGCAATAAATTCCATGTCCCTGGTCAAGCATATGTGTGCATGCGTGATGTGTCAGGCAGATACAGCTTTCTAACCCACTCCCAATTTAGCAGTTTTCATAACTTTATGCATTGGTATACACTGGTGCAGTCACACCTACAGAATATATCCAGACCTTTTTAATTCAGTATTTTCTGTCTTTCAGGTGCAGTTCCATGTGACTATTGGCCACACAGCCTTGTCTATTTATATTGATTGTCCTTTCCCTAAATGGATGCACTGGGGTGTAATTTTCTATGCTGTCACCTTCATTTTCCTGTTTGGTAACTTCTACTATCGGACATATAAGCTGCCCAAGGAACCTGTAAAGAATGGCAAAATAGCAAATGGTGCTGTTGCAAATGGAGTAAGCAAACGAGAAGAAAATGCAGTAATGGAAAATGGAAAAAAGCAGAAAAAGGGAAAAGCAAAAGGAGAGTAACTTGATCCAGGCCTTAACCATTGTTGGCAGTGAGGAACCTCCAGTTTGGTTTATAAAAGGAAGAAAAAACCACTATCTGTACCAATTAACCTTAGGTTACTGAAGAGCTAGAACAGAGATATTTTCATTATTTATGAAGATTGTTTTAAGAACAACACGAAAGTTGAATTTCTATTGTAATTATGTAATTATCATGCATATGGTCTCTGTGTAAACTTGTAGACTGCTGGTGTTGGTGAATGTAAGGAAGAATTGCAGTTGATTCCATATTTAGCAGTCCAAAAGTTAATACTACCATTGATACAGGCAGTTCTGTTGGCACCCACATTTCTTTGCGGGAGGGAGGGGGAGGAAGTAGTATTTGGATACTTGTGTTTTCTTTCCAGAAAATTATTAAATTTCAAATTATGACACATTATCTAATCAAAATGTGCAACTTTTCTTGTCCTCCTTGGAGAGTATTTTCAGACACATTATGTTTATGTGCTGTCAGAACAGTGTTTGACTTTTCGGACATTACTTGATTTAACTGAGTGTCTGTTACAGGTTTTTTTTGTTTTGGTTTCGTTTTTTTTTTTGTTTGTTTGTTTTTGGTTTTGTTTTGTTTTGTTTTCTTGTGTGGAAATATACCTACCTCTTCATCCGCTGAAAAGAATATTGAGCATTAAACAAGTGGTTTCTGAAAGATGGAGTCCTCTAATATAAATATCCTTTAACACTAATTCAGGAGAAAATATGATTTCCTGTGGGAGTAAAAGGGATTTGGGTCAGGATTTTGTGGTCAAGTCATCAATAACCTTTTTTGGTGTAAACTTAAATTTTGGAGTGGTACTTTTAGTACAGCTAAGTGGAAAAAAAAATGTTTTAAGAATGTATAAATATGAAAAAATACATTGTTTGAAGCAAGCAGTGAAAGTAGGCCTGCTGCTTGTTGTCCGTGACCTACATTAAACCTGCGGTGCTGATTGATACTGAAAATGGTAAAGTATTATGGTGGAGAGAAAACAACGATATGTAATTCCATTTAGAAATACTGCATGTATGGGTAGTCATGCTAACTACAAGACAGTCACTTTAATTGGAGAGAGAATTCAGTTTAAAAGTACTAAATACAGAAAATATAAAATGTTGAAAATGCTGCTACTGCTTGATACCCATCAAAACTCTATTTGTTTAGACACTTGCAGACAATGTATTGCTAGTAGTCAGGCTGCCATTTTAATGTGAATGTCAGAGATGGGCTTCTGAAACTATTTCCAAAATATTCTCAGCTCTTTTCAACCTAATTGACAAAGTTTTTCTGCTAAACATTTTTTAGTCAAAAATGCTGAAAGAAGTAGAAGCCTTTTAGTTGGCTTTTCATCTTACATGATATATTAATGGACTTCTTACTGCTCCTTTTGTGAAGAAAATATGGAAAGAGTTCTTTTCCTTCCAAATAATGTGATTGAGAGATGTTTTGAGCTGCTCAGCATGCAATGAGCATAAAACAGGGGTAGAATTAGAAACCATCTCCTGAACTGCCATGTTTCTTGTTCATCACTGCAAGAGCTGAGTTGTTGCTGTCTAAATGCATTCTTCCCAGCTCTGGTCAAAAACATATTCATAGTTAGTGACAAACTTGCATCCAGCAAGTGACACCATTGTTGCAGGAAAAAGGTACACGGAGCTGTAGGTGTAAAGTGTGTGACACGTTTCATAGTCTTTGCATCTCAATTATCCATTTGTCTGTTTATATGTAAATAGGTCACATCTTCTGTGTCTCAGGTTTGTCTCTTGTCTCTACACTAAAAACTGTCTAAACCCAGAAAAGAGTTCCTAGGAAGAAAAAGGGTTGGACTAGTCTCTTGTATTCAGAAATAACTCCTCATGCTGGAGTCGATTCATCTGGAAGGTAGTTCATCCATAATCTCCGCCACTGTGGATTTTATGGCAGAATTCAGGATTGTGAAAGAATGTCTCTGCTGAACTGTATTGCATGTGACCATTAAGTTTCCTATCTGCTGTGTCTTGTGATTCTTCCAGCCTTTGTACTGATGCTTTTTGCATTTGCGTAACTCAGTGTATTTAATGTAGTGTGGCATGGGGAAGAGGGATAGTGGTCTACCCTTTCTTCTTGGACAAATGTCACTACCCTTACCCAAGCCAAAATGCTGGCTCACTGAGTAACTCTGGGATGGCTAAAGAAACAAATAACTACAAAGCAAGCTCACAGATTTACAGCACACCTGCTACTCCAAGGTAATGGCTGGTGTGAATACACTTACCCTACTGTAAATTCAAGGTAGCTTACCCCACTTCGATTAAAGGGTAGCTTCTTTCTATTTGCCCTGGGATGTGGGCAGCTAACATAAATCTGTATTGTTCCTTGCACTGTGTTAAATTGGTTGTTCGCTCTGTCTTTCTTTCAGTAAGCCAGGTCAGATAAACTGATACTTTTAATGTGATCTAGTTCTGAAAGAGCATACTGAGAAGTATTCCAGTACAGGTTCAATTATGTCTTTGCTACACTTTGTAAAGTAAGAATTACTTACTTGTTGCATGTTGGCAAATATTTAAATAGCTGAAAGTCAAATCTCTACCCTCATCATGCATGGAAGCTGCTTAAAGTTGATAACAACTTGAAACTTATTGGCAGGACTTGAGTAGAATCCTACCCTCAAACTCTGGGGCACTTGGTAACTTTAAAGACAAAAAATGAAACAACGTTATTAAATTGCTGGAACACTGCTGTTTTGAGTCCATCATCTGCAACACGGCTTTCCTCGGTCTATTTATGATATATTTGATTGTTCATGTGACGTGAGTCCCATTATGATCTTCAATATAATGGCCTTACTAAATGTGCATTTTTGTAGGCATGGTCTTGAGTGCAATACTTCTGTTTCTGACTATACAGCCAGACTCACAGAATGCAGGGCTGAACTTGTACAGCTTTTTCTTTTTCAGAATTTGAGGCAGTGATGCCTGAATATATGAGGTACTGCCAGATTCATTAAAGTCATCCTTGAGTCCAAGGCACCTCAGAATTTTGCCATGAGAATAGAATATATGTATAAATGTGTGTTTGCTATACAGAGAACTGAACTTTCAGTTATAAAATCTACTTTGCATGGTATTTTTAAATTTTTTTTTTTTTATATAAATGCTTCCAATTTATTTAAAAGTGAAATTCAAACCATTTGGAACTTTTCTTTTTTTGCCAATGAAAAGTACTTTTTTTCTGAAGCTCTTGGACCAAAGTCTCATAATTATTTGATGCCATATAAGTGATACCATTTCATTTAGCTTCATCTCTAGCAGTGACAGGTGTTGGATTCTTCTAGCACTTTGTTAATGTAAAATAAATACAAATTATCTATATAAGTGTGTATATATATGTGTACACATACATTGTGTGTGTGTATATATATATATATGGGTTCTTAGCAAGTTCTTTCAATATATGAAGTAAATTATATTTCTTTAATGTGAAGTTGGCAGGAGATAATAGAACAGTTCCTACAGCTCAAGCAGTAAAATGAAGCAGTTTTCATTGATCCATAGATCCAATATCAGTCTTGCAGACATTAATAGTATTTGTCAGTCATTTTAGAGATAGGATGTCAGGAAAGCCAGAGCCATTTCTCCCAGTGTAATAAATATTTTGAGACATCAGTTGTAGATTCTGAGGCAAGGGACCTCAACTCAGAGGATCTGAGGAATTACGCTGTTTAATAGTAGGGATCAGTTTAGGAAACAGTATGAGTAACTTGCTCCAGGAAGGTTTTTGAAGTCGCTGCAATCAAATTCTCAGCTTAAAAAAGCATTTTAAAAATAAATAAATAAATGTTTCTCTGTAGGTTTGAAAGCAAGGCTTATTTGATTATATGACCATTAACTACTTCCAGCTCCAGATCAAAGATGAAGGCAAAATAAATATGCTGCACATTTTTTTTTTTTTTTTTTTTTTCAGGTTAACCTTAGGGCACTTGACCTCTGTGTGCTGGGGAGGCAGGTAAGGAAGGAGAGAATAGCTATTGTGCTGAAAAGTCTCATTCCTAAATAACTTTTGAGCACACTTGCTATCTCTTAAAAACTTGAGTAAAATTGTTTATGGTGCATAAATTTAAACTTTGCATGAAGTTAGTGTGGGATGAGGGTCATAATATTTAAACACATGTTTAAAATTAGATCTGTTCAGTAAAAGAGAATGGGTAGCTTATTAAGTATCTGGATATAATGTATTTATCTTGGCTAGAAGTACGGACTAATCCAATTTGGCACCTAAAGCAAGTCACCTATATGACATCTCATTGTGCTGCGGTCTGATGAGTTGGCCTCTTTGCTAACGTAAGCAGTTGGAGCTCCGTGGAAATCTGTGGGGTGGTTCCCTTTTACCTCAGCAGAGCACATTTAACCCTAAAGAACAGAGAAAATACTTGCTTTCTGCCAATATCCAAGGTGGATGAGGAAAATGTATGGTTCAGGATGCTGCTTTTTGCATAAGGTATTCATGCTTTTGTAAACAATAAAAATAAACATTACTTTTTTCATGCTGTTTGAGTTTGGTTTTATACATTCCATAGAATGTTCTTCTGTATCCCATCTTGCTTCCAGGTGCTTGCTAATTTTACAGAGTTGCACAGGTTGTGTTGATGTAATTGTTATGTAGCCCAAAAGCTTGAGAAAAAAATTTTGTGGCATTTTGAGGTTATGGGGACTTCATAATTTTGGCTGTTGCCCCAGAATGGTAGTCTCTTGATTTTTAAGTCACCCTTAGGGAGTCGAGTGAAGAATCAGATGTCCACTTAAACAAAAAAAATCACCTGGAATGTCTTCTAGCTGTACAGGACATATATCAGCATCAGGTTTGGTCCAAACACCATCTTAAGTCTGGGATAAACTGAAAGCATCAGATGGAGTTGGCCTTTCCTTCTCTTCCAGTATGGCTTGTTCTTGGAAATGCAGGAGAGGAAGGGAAGGATCTGGAAAGTGAAAAATGCATATAATTCCTGAATATAATGGTTCTAGCTATGAAACCTTCTCAATCAATCTTCTGTTTTGAGAAAATGTTGGTGAGAGGCTCTGCACACTGTACTTAAGGCTCCACATTGTTTGGTCTTGGAAGCATTAACAATGAGGAATACAATTAGCCACGTGGTTTAGCTTTTGCTGGACACCACATTGTGCTAATGTAATGTCTCTCATCCCAGGGAATCTGGAGCACTTTTGTCAGTAGGTGTAATTCACAGTTACATGTTGCTGTGTGCAGTAAGTTCCTTCATAGCTAGTCCACCAAGTATGATCTCTGTAATCAACCTTATAATACTGAGTTGCACCCATGTTGCACTCCTAGCAACTAAGTGCAAATAGCTATTCCGGATGTCAGGTAATAGAGAATCAAGTCTGCCATCGCAGCAGAATATGGTGTGGTCAATTATCTCTTGCATAATTCACAGATGTTGCTTCAATCCATTGCTTACACCCTTCCTGGAATCAGAAAATACACTAAGTGTTCAGAGCAGGATTTGTCTCTTAGATGTTTAACGTGGTGGTGGTAGGCACGTTGTCCAGGCGTCTTTTCCGTAATACGTATTCCCCACCAGTAATTAAAAATAAGCACATATGATCAAGTTAGATTCATCAGATTATCGAATAGAGTAGACTGGATGCTCTGTTCTTCATTTTCAGTTTTCTTTATTATATCACTTCCTAATGTCAAGGAAACTGGTGTTGGAGAAAGGGCTTTATTACCTGTTTGCTTACTCAGTTCAAAGCACTGGAGCTGCCACAAGAGAGCAGGTGAACGCAGGCTATAGCCTCAGACACAGGTGAAGCATGTACTCAGAGACAATTTTGAAGGCAGTACTTTCTATGGCTTAGTGCCTTTCAGTGTCTTTTCATGCTTCAGACTTCTAGGTAGCCTAATGAACACACGCACACTTTTCTATTGATTGCCTGATGTGTTAGTGACATCGCCTTTGACTTAATTGTAAAGATGCTTATTGATGGGCAAGATTATGGCTTTTTTGATCATCATGGCACCAGTTGTCTGGGGCCTGATTAGTGCACGCTGGTCTAATAGTATTAAAACAGTGCTGGCAGTTCCTGCCAGAGCACCATGCAGTCAGTACAGCTCGGAGGGGAAAAAGCTATTTGCATCTTGATTCAATATGTGGGAATTGGTATGAGCTTGTATGGCATCATTACTATCTGACAAATATTAGGTAGGTTTTAGTCTGCTAAATAAGAAGAAATCTTTGATTCTTGAAGTTATTCAAGTATAAATGTTATCTGTCCTTATCTTTAGGTTGAGAACTGTTATTCTTGCAGTGGTATCATCTTAATTGGGTTCACAAAAAAACCTTCATGCTGGTATCTTTTGGAGTGTGTTTACAAGAGAAAACTAGAGAAATACGAGAAATAACGTGGGCCAAAAGCTAGAGAACATCGAGTAGTTACTCCTCTAGTTTTTGCCCTTGCCTCTAGATGCTGCAGGAGTTAAATGACTGGTCTATAACTGTTACTGCTGTGTAGTTATTATTTATAGATGCTGTAACAGTATACAAGTAGTGTACTTGTGCATAAGTACATTCTGAAGTACATAAAAATTGCTTTGTCTTAAATTACAATGGAGTAAGCTATTTATCTAGCCAAAAGTGCTTGTAGTGGAAGTAATGACAAACATCGTAGTTCTGCATTGGCAGGGCTCACAAATAATTATTATTTACTCTGTATTTCCTGTTTAATAATATTCTGAGGAGCTTCTGAGGAGCTTCTTGCAATAACATAAAGCTCTGTGAAGATGAAAATTGCTATATAACTGCTAAAAACCTATTTTGCAGAGCTCCTTTTATTGCTTTGTTTCTCTTTGTAAATCTGTCTTCAGGTTAAGTGCTTGCTTCCTAAATTATTCCAGAGCAGGCTGTAGTTCACAGAAAGATCTCGTAGTATTTGCAAGTGAGTAAAATGTTAAAATGGACCCTGGGGTGTGTTGTACAGTAAAGGGCTTCAAATCCATGGCATCGCTCGGTACACTGGCTTCGCCTCAAATGCTGCTCTTGGGTCCAGGGAATGGCGATCCGGATCCATCCAGCCCATAATGAATTTTCTTTACTGGACGGCAGATGCTCAACTGGGATTTACTTTGGTGTCTGACCTGGTTTCCACACATTTGGCAGAAGAGACAGGAGAAGTTCTTGGGCCACAGAGGATTATTTTTTTTTTGCAGTTCTGCCTACTCAAAACACCAAACTTGGCAGGGGGTGTTTGAACATTTTCGGCTGACAGCTTGAGGTGCAGAGTTTTGAAGAAAATGTGGCTCTGGATTCAGTACGCATAGAGAGCCTAGCTTGCTTTTCAGCTCTTAGTTGCTTGACAGAAACAAAAATGTGCCAGAAATACTCCAGTTAAATAGAAGAAGAAGAAGAAGAAAAAAAAAAAAAAAAGGGGGGTGGGAAAAAAAAAAAGAAACGACTTTTATGATTTATTCAGAAAATGAGGCTTTAGGTAGAAACTAGGTTTTTTACTGGAAGCTTCCCCTTTTTTCCCCTTTTGCTGTTTTTAACCACTGTGCATGCCTTTCTGCTCTGCTAGGGAGGATGCTTGGATGAAGATCGCTATGTGTGTTCAGGAAATAATCTATTGCTGTGATTTGTCACTGAGGCATTTGAAGTGACTTCTCTCATGGTCTGAAATGCCGAAAAGCAGCTGCACAGTCTGAGCAGGTTGAGTAGTAAGAATATTTTGTACACAATGGTCTCAAAGCATCGCTACCGAACTGGGTGTTCTGGATACAATAAGCTAGAAAGAGGAACCGTTTTTATTAAATTTTGTCTTCCTGCTTAACAAATGCCAGACTACAAGGACAAACTCCAGTTTTGTATTCTGTGGTATGAAGGCATATTGTACACTCATAACCAAGAGTGGCTGCAAGGGATGGGGAGTTTACTGCACTATAAAATCACTTTGTTAGAGATTTTATACTGAGCTATTCTCTTCTGTGATCAGAGTTTAATAAAAAATGGATTTTTATATAAATCTGACTTCTGTTTTCTATTTCAAAGTCAGGTAACTAGTACAGATATTTTCTTGCACAGGTAAAAATTCCCATCCTGACTTTTTGATGCTTTCTAGGTGAAGTTTCACTTATTTGAGTGAGAATTTTCACTATCTAAGAACACTCCATGTTGCTAACAGACTTTATAAGAGCTTGTTTACCATCTAGACTTCATATTGCCACTAAGATATTCAGAATAATAGAAAAATAAGTACCAAAAATGTTAATCTTTATTTCTATTTGTTTTTTTTTTTTTTTTTTAAAGGACTTTACAATGATGGTGTAGTTGTTTTACTAAAACACTAGAAATGACAATGTTTTTTGAATTTATGTGACGTTGGCTGTGGCAGATTCCTTACTGAGAAAAAACCTTTGTGCTGAAGATGAGTGTGTGGGAAGATATTTTTTTTTTTTTCCTCCTTGCTTTTTGACATTGTTAAATAGGCTTTTGGTAAGGGCTCAGATATGAGATTGCATGTGCAATGCTCGTAGCTCAAACTCTTCTGAATGCCTCTGGGTGTACCAGCACTATGGAGTACACCTGTAGTATGATAATGATAAGCAGTTGGCATTATGTTGTCTGTCTCAGATCTATAAATCTCTTGGATCTGGAAGGCGTTGTCTGAAGCCTGTTGAAAGCTATAGAAGTACTGATTTACTAAAATCTTTGAACCATTAGAATGGTGGTTTGAATTTTAAATTAAGCAAGCCTGTATTTTTATTTTTTTCATACTTGACTCCCATGTTACCTTGCAAAAGTATGGTTCAGTTAATTTTTGGCACCTGCTTGAGGCAATTTCTGATTCTTTCAGCACCTCGAGTCTTTGATTTTCACGAGCCTCTGGCCGTGCCCCTGGTTACCAGGGAGCAGCACTGGGCTCTCAGCGGCTCATTGCAACTACGAGAAGATGGCTGCTCAGCAACTCTAGTAGGTGATGCGTTAAATAGAAGGAATTAATTTACTTTGTTGGTAAAGTGTTTTGCTTGGAATTTTAACAACTGACTGGGGCCTATATGGGTATTGTGGTCTGACCAAAATATTCCTGGTATTTTCTTCACATCCAGTCTTGACGCATGTTTTTCATGGTGGCGTATGAACATATGCTGGGTTCTAAACAGATGCACAGAGCATTAGTGGTTTGCTTGCCTTTGAATTTCAAGGATGCTGAAAATAACGCCGGTTTTTTATCACTTTTGTTTTAGCCAGACGAGTGATTTTTGGGCTCCATTTAAATTTTGGTGTAGCAATTTTGGCAGCTTAACATTTTGAAGTAATGTAGTTCTTTTTTTGTTTGTTAGAACAGGCACAGAATGCTGTACAGTACCTCCTTCACTGATCAGAATTCAATTTGTAACCGTAGTGTCAGACCAGGATTAGCTGTCAACATTGTTATGACCTGGTGAGCAGTGTATCCTGGATCTGTATTATAAATTTAAGAGAATTCCGTAATCTGCCAGAAAGTAGATGTAGTCAACAGATTTTTCAAGCACTGTGGCTA